ACTCTGAGCGTACCACTCACGAAGCTGCTGGGGCGTGAGAGACTCGCGCGGACGTCGCTGGAGCTGCATCTGGCCACCGCCAGTAGCAGCAGTAGCAGCAGTAACAGCAGTAGCAGCGCGGCCACCCCGACAACCCCAACTAGCGTACCACTCACGAAGCTGCTTGGGCGTGAGGGACTCACGCGGACGTCGCTGGAGCTACATCTGGCCACCGCCAGTAGCAGTAGTAGCAGTAGCTATAGCAATAGCAGTAGTAGTAGCAGCAGCTCGTCCAGGGCAGGAGCGGCAGGCAGGCATGCAGGCAGGCAGGCGCGGCATGCAGGCAGGCGAGCGGGCAGGCAGGCAGGCGGCAGCGCTCGAAAAAGGCCGGTGCTCACCAGTGGCAGGCACGGCCGGCGCTCGGCGGGGCCGCAACAGCGGCTGCAGAGTAGGGCCGCAGCACCTGTAGGGCAGGGTCGCGCCAGCAGCAGGTCGGGGCCGCGTCAGCGTCGAAGCGGGGCCGCCTCGGCGGCAGGGCGCGGCCGCGGCAGTTGCAGGGCTGGGTTGCGCCAGCAGCAGGTCGGGGCCGCGGCAATTGCAAGGCTGGCGGGGCCGCGTCGGCGTCTGGGCGGGGCCGTGTCAGCCGGAGGGCGCGGCCGCGTCAGCTGCAGGGCTGGCGGGGCCGCGTCAGCAGCAAGGCGCGGCCGCGCCGGCGTCTGGTTGGGGTCGCGTCAGCAGCAGGGTGCGGCCGCGTCAGCTGCAGGGCTAGCGGGGGGCGCGTCGGCGTCTAGGCGGGGCCGCGTCAGCAGCAGGGCGCGGTCACGTCAGCTGCAGGGTTGGAGGGGCCGCGTCAGCAGCAGGGCGCGACCGCGGCAGGTTGGGGCCGCGTCAGCGGCAAGGCGGGGCCGCGAGCGCGGCCTGACGGGGCCGCGACCGCGGCCTGGCGGGGCCGCGACGGCGACCTGGCGGGGCCGCGCTCTGGCCTGACGGGCCTGCAGAGGCTGCGCGCGGGTGGCGAGGGCCTGCAGGGGCGGCTCGCGGGCCTGAGTGGCCTGCAGGTGGCGGCTCAGGGGGCTGACGGGCCTGCAGGAGCAGCTCGGGGGCCTGACGAGCCTGCAGAGGCGGCTCGGGGGCATGACGGGCCTGGAGGGACGGCGCACTGGCCTAGGGCAGCAGGAGGCAGCGCGAGGGCTGCAGTACGGCGCGCGTAGCACAGCACGTCACGAGGCAAGGCATGCAGGCACATGACAACACGTGGGGTAGCGCGGAAACCGCAACGGTAGGTGGGCCCGAAAAAAAAAAAAAAAACGGTCCTACATGCTTACCATTGCTAGGTTGAGATTACTGTCTTGCTTGTTCTCCTTGATTTATAACCATGCATGTGAACTTGCCTTGTGGCCTTGTACTTGTGCTCAGAATGCGTGGTGGCGTCGTGATCCACCCTGAGCTTGACCTTGCCTTGTTCTCTTGCTTGTCCCCACTTTGCCTATGGGGTTGTATTAGAACTATATTGTAGGCTGTAGTGGGGCACTCCTTATGGGGTACAGTATTGTTAGGTTTTGCCCATACAAACCTTGTACTGACCTGTTTCTAGACATTCTCGTTTCCTACTTGGTGACATGAATGTCTTCTTCAAACTTCATTTAAAAAACCCGTACTCAGTCGCAAATGATGTCAGCACCTCCGGCACTCTTGTCCAGACTCGCCGAGGATTTTGACGTGTTTCTCCGAAAACTCCCTTGCAGTGGCGAAAAACAGCTGCTGCTCTTCCCCCTGACCTCGCAAATATATTTTTCCAAGTCAAAATTGAACTGTCGATGACATCAGCTGCGCCGACGACATTGTCGTTACTCGCCGAGAACTTCGGGGTAGAGGCGAAAAAGCTGTCCTTCCTCCCCCCACCTGGTGCGATAGTTTTCACCTGTGTTGCGGCTAGTACCCCTGGAACTCTGCGGATTTTGATGCCACGAAGGTTCACCACGGCAGTTTCGCGCGCCTAACCCAGCACCGCTGCAACTCCGCCGTTTCACGAAATTGTCGGCCGTCACCGCCAAACTCTTGTAAAACCGATACTCGAACTCTCCGTAAATGTCGGTGCTGAAAATACTCGTACGTCTTGGTCACCTACAAGTTATCCCCTTGAAGAACCGGTGTATCTAGCGTGCCCCACCCATCGCCATTTTCATCGCCTGTGTTTAACCACACTAGCAACCCACCAAAAGGAGGCGCTTTTTGTGCGGAACCCAGGACTATGGGTCTACCGGGACCGAATTTCACGAAACCTAGCCCGCATCGACGCTGCAGATCTCGCCGTAGAATTTTCCCAGATGGCTTCAAAGTACACTGTAAAGCGCTGAAATCACTTGGCGAGCAGACGTTCACCCGCATCTCACCGTAGGAATGAACCCCGAAAATCATGGTTGATGAAGTAGTCCCGAAGTTATTTTCCGACGTGTAGCCCCGACGTTTCCGCCGTTAACCCTGGTACTCCAATGTTTACCCATCTTCATACGCGTCGAAGCCACTTAGCGAATCCCAGATATCCTTGGCGCTGCACCCCTCGCCGCGCCTCCATGTAAAAATATCAAACCCCTTTGGGTGTCTACCGAATAGACTCCAAATTTCGCGGTGGAGTGGTGCACGTTCTCAACCTTTCACTCAAGTGATCTGCTGGATCACCCACAACTTTCCCTCCATCATTTTTTTTTTTTGTCTTCACCCCCCGACAATTTCGCTCGCCGCCGTTCACCCAGCATCTGCTTTTGTCGGATGAGGCAAAACTCGGTGCTGCCCTCGATTTTTCTGACACTCGGTGAAAGCGCGAACGCTATCGTAGCCGGAGAGTGTTTATCATATAAAACAGTTAGGTCGGCCGCTTCGTTGCCCACCTCGTCTATCGCGCTTAAAACTCCCAGCTTCGAAAATCCCATCTTCACCGCTACACCTCTGTCGGGTAGACCGCTGACTCAGGAGAAACTCCGACAGCTGCACCAATATATTTAGCTCCGATTTTTTCGGCAAGGGAACTGTTGCCGATGGTCCGCTTTTGTCGGGGCCGAAGAGTATCGCATCCTTGAAATTCTCTGGTACACCCAGCTGTCGAACTTGCGCTATACCCGCGCTTTTTAGCCAGCACAGGGCTAAACACAGGGCCCCACGTTATTCATCATGTGCCCTCCAAGACCGTCACCACTTAGGCCGCCTTCGAAGCTACCTGGTGTGGGGTATGCGGAACTTTGTAAGACTTTGGTCGGTATTTGGGCCCTATCCGGCTACCGCCACTTAGCCACGAGACCCGGCATCAGCAAAAAGTCTTTTTTGGTAGGTCGTCTTCTCCCCTCCTGAAGTGCGAAACCCGTTTCTCTCGCTGGACCCGCACTCGACGCAACTCCGTGTATTGTAGCCGATAGAACCCCCAAAAATCGCGGGTCTAAACACTGCGTCGAATCGTTGCCCCGCCGGTGTACTGCCCTGTTTGCGGCGCAACTACCCTTGATCAGGGTGTGCTGTGCTGCCTAAAGTACAAATCGGCCGTTGCAGTTGCTCGGAGAGTTTTGCCGATCTTGTTGCAGGTACAGGAATGACCCTAGCGATAGCCAGTCTAGTCGTAGGCGGATTTTCCTGAACTTTTCGGTGGTTCGAACAAAAACAACTTCCGTTCCACATTGTGCCGCTCTGCCGAAAACGCCAACAACGCACCCTCTTGTAGCTACACCAGCTGCACCCGGCTGGGACGACGGTTGACCCCCGTCTTCTATAGGCAGTCGTCACGCCGTCTCTCCTCGCCATTGCATTTTGCGACGCAAATCACCATGCGCCTCGCCTGCCCGGCCAGCTGTCGTTTTACACGTGAAGCCACCCGAAATCTTCGCGCACAGTGACGATGCTCACAATGTGCCGAAGACCTCCGAGATTCTCGTGCGCAACGTGACGAAGATGCCTGATGCCACTTGCCGCACGCATTAACTCCGATTTCTTTGCGTGCAGTTGACGCCATGTAGTGACGCCAACTCGCACAACGTTTTTTCCCGACGATCTTCTACTTGCACCGACGACGAGTCTGCCGACGTCAGCCGCTACACAAAAGTCAAAGTCCAAGATTGACGAAAAACTTAAACAATTAACTCACGTAATTAATGTGCGACAGCCATAGCTGCCCACCACCCGGGGGGAGGGAGGTCACGGTCCATCTCGACCGTCGAGGGCAAGGATCCGTCGGTGCCGTAGGAGCGCCTTGAAAAATCATGGTCGCTAGGAGCAACTACCCGTTCTCCTGGCCGGCTCTTGCGCTGCTCCTGTCACCACGGCATCCTTCCTTGTCCCCCCCCCCCCCCTCCGAGGGGTAATACACTCTAAAAAACGGGGAACCTAGGAAAGTAGCTCTGATACCAAGTATTATGAGTTGTACTAAAAGAGTGCGCGGAAGACTTCATAAAAAGGATGAAAACTATAGAATGTCGAGAATGATAAAGAAGCAAGCATTTATAGGGTCGAAACCGTGCTAGGCGAGGACCTCGAGACGTGGATGGTTTGGAAGTGTCGCGATTGGTGCGGGGCGACTCGGGAGTGGTTCGGGCCGAAGTGTACGCCGAACCTCGAAGCTGACGCGAAGTGCTCGGGGTTGTCATCGCTAGGAAGGAACAGAGAGGAAATAATGGGATGAGGACAAAAAAAGGAGATGAAAAGTGAGGTGAGATGGAGCATGCACACGTGGAGCAATGAGACGTGACGTGACGTGCGAGGGATCCGTCTGACAAGCTAGGATGGTTCAAGACAAGAGTGGAGTAAGGCGGAGAGAATGGAGTATGGAGGGTCACGGTGAATCAAAAGGAGCGGCGCGAGGAGCGGTGAGAGGTGAGTAGTGAGCGGTGAAAGGGAGGAGTGCCAAGAGCGGTGAGTCCGTAGCACCCTTTGAGGGATTGAGGGCAGGAGACGGGCAAGGGTGCGTTTGAGGCGGTGGCAGTGATGTGATGTGAGGCGGGCGGGTGACTTACGGTCGGCGGCGGTGCTTGAAGCAGCTGTCAGCAGGCCGTGCGAATGGCGAATGGCGGCAACCCTGGGGGCACAGGCTGAGCGCGCATGGGGGAGAGGGGCGGGGGAAGGCGGGGGGGGGGGGGGGGATGGGGGGGGGGGGAGAGAGGGGGGAAAGGGGAAGAACGAGAATGGGATGAGAAGGGAAGGAGGCTTAAGGGGAAGGGGTGAATGGGGAAGCGGGAATGTGGGGAAGAGGGCGGAAGGGGGAAGGAGGAACGAGAGGAGGAGGGAGAGGCTGAAAGCAGATTCGAGAGCACGGGGGCATACCTGAGAGCATGAGAGCAGCCAGTGCAGCAAGTACGAGGCTCCGCACACCCGCGCCGTGGGAATGCGAACCCATGGCAGTCAACAGGTGGGGCGAGACGGGCTGGAAGGACCAGCGGAAGCAGTGCTGGCAGAGGTGATGCGCGGATGAGAGGCGGCGATGAGCCTCCGAGGGCTCAGTCATGGCGTGGCGTGTGACGAGAGGAGTGGAAGGAGCGGCGATGACTGGAAGTGAGAGGCGATGAGTGGAAGGAGCGGCGATGAGTGGAAGTGAGAGGCGAGCAACTTATGTACCATGAGACGGACGATACTGCCCGTCCCCCTCCCCTCCCCCTCAGCTCGAGCTGAGCGGATCCCATCCACTCCCCCTCTCCCCCCCACCTCGACCCCCCTCCCGCGATAGACGTTGTCAAAGAAGGGGGAGAGGGCGGAAGGGAGAAGGCGAAGGAGCTTCCTCATTGAATGGCGGGAAAACGCGCTGGTGTATTATGGTGGGGCGGATGCGGATTCAATCGCACCCTCTTGCAGCTACACCAGCTGCACCCGGCCGGGACGACGGTTGACCCCCGTCTTCTATAGGCAGTGGTCACGCCGTCTCTCCTTGCCATTGCATTTTCCGACGCAAATCACCATGCGCCTGGCCTGCCCGGCCAGCTGTCGTTTTACACGTGAAGCCACCCGAAATCTTCGCGCACAATGACGATGCTCACAACGTGCCGAAGACCTCCAAGATTCTCGTGCGCAACGTGACAAAGACGCCTGACGCCACTTGGCGCACGCATTAACTCCCATTTCTTCGCGTGCACTTGACCGCCATGCAGTAACGCCAACTCGCACAACGTTTTTACCCAACAATCTCGGACGTGCGCCGACGACGAGTCTGCCGACGTCAGCCGCTACACAAAAGTCGAAGTCTAAGATTGACGAAAATCGTAAACAATTAAATGACGTAACTAATGTGCGACAGCCATAGCTGCCCACCACCCGGGGGGAGGGAGGTCACAGTCCATCTCGACTGTCGAGGGCAAGGATCCGTCGGTGCCGTAGGAGCGCCTTGAAAAATCATAGTCGCTAGGAGCAACTACCCGTTCTCCTGGCCGGCTCTTGCGCTGCTCCTGTCACCACGGCATCCTTCCTTGCCCCCCCCCCCCCCCCCCCTCCGAGGGGTAATACACTCTAAAAAACGGGGAACCTAGGAAAGTAGCTCTGATACCAAGTATTATGAGTTGTACTAAAAGAGTGCGCGGAAGACTTCATAAAAAGGATGAAAATTACAGAATGTCGAGAATGATAAAGAAGCAAGCATTTATAGGGTCGAAACCGTGCTAGGCGAGGACCTCGGGACGTGGATGGTCTGGAAGATTTGGGGTCAAACATGTTTTTGGGGCACGATCCTTGTTGGTGTAACATGTGAAGATTTGCTGTGGTGATCCTCTACGCTAGGCAATGTCGCGAGTATTGGATATTTGCATTGACCACGTTGACTGCGTTACTAACTGGAACTCAACAGCCTCATTGGTTTGAATTCCGTAAAAAATAATGCTTCGATTAGTCGAGACGTTGTTAGAGCTGTTTGCGACATTAAAAGTTTCATCATCAGGGATCACGCTATCTTTAATTGAAAATATCAAAGGATCACCAAGAGATTAACAGTCACCATGTTCTTTCAAAAAACACCAAGTTCGGTTAGGATTGACAGCTCGTGATTTCAATGCTTCTACTTTTGGTACAGCATCTCATACAGTAATAATTGTACAGTAGTAGACATGGCACTGTTCTGTAACGATCGCCCACGTGATCATCAAAATACAGCAATCTTTGATTGCGTGTAACAGGCTCTAAGTTTCCTCCATCATCTGCCAAGCTCTCTACGGGCAGAACGAGTCCATTAATTGACAAATGTGAGTGTGCATATACCTGTTGATATACCTCAACAAACAAGCGAGTCCGCCAAAGAAGAAACCAGCCTAATGCGTGAAAACGGAACAAAACAAAACAAACAAAGAGAAAAGGAGAAAAACTAAAACACGTAGGGAAAGACATGCCATCCAAGTAAGGCATCAATCAAAACAACTAGCTGCATGATATTGAGAGTTGATGGCTCCCTAGCGCCTCGTCGGCTTCGTTATGGTCCTGTCAAAGTCGTTGAAGCTGTATCGCCGACTTTCTTCTCCAAGTCTGTCCCGGCCACGCAACGTAGCTGGCTACACACCTTATGCGCCGGTCACATGGGGAGGCTCAGTAATCAGTGTGTACAGGCTCGACCTAGGCCGGCGGGTAAACGTGGCCAGATGGCGGCCCGTTCGTGCACACGTGCAGATTGCCACACGCTGTCCTCCAGGGGTAAAGGTCTAAACCCATTCATCCTGGAGGACTGCGTTGCTCACCAAGTTCGTCGAGAACGAGGGGAGGTAAAGACCTGACAGTGAGCCAAACGGAACCGCCGGACACGGAAGAACAGTGGAGGAACGTGCGGAGAGTCACTCTACAACGGTAGTGAGCTAGACTGCAGGGGTTGGCACGAACTACTATAGGTGATCGTAGCTTTTCCTAGTTCCTTGGTGCTTGCACAATCGCAGGAGAAATCGGCAAGAGTTTCCACTAGCAAAGTTGGAATTACTGAATAATTGAACAAGAGATGGCAACAATGACTACATCAGACACCTAGCAACCCTGCAGCTAGCCTGGTCGACCGCCAGCACAGCTCGGTCGACCGCCTACCAGCGTTGCGTAGAGGAGCCGCGCCAGCACTGCAGAAGGGCGACCTGCCAACAGAGCAGGTCGACGGCGTGCCAACGTTGCAGCACAGCGGCTGTCCAGCGTTGCCCCGTAGAACACAGCAGTGCGCACGCTCGCAGATGCGCGCAGTCGATTGGCCCGACTTGCCTCGTTGGGCATCCGTCGGCTGTTGTCTGCACCTGACGAGCCACATCGACTTTGGGATACCAGCCCGAAGTCGCCAGCGCCATTAAGACTTTGACGACGTTCGCGTGCCTCCGCAGAACTCGTCGAGCAGGTTACCCGGTCGACGTGGTCGACCCCCAGATGCTCTGGTCGACGTCCAGGTGCCTCCGGTCGACCACCGGGTCCCTCTGGTCGACCACCAGGTGCCTCTGGTCGACCACAACTCCCGTCGAGCTACCTCCTGGTCGACGGACCCCTTCCGTCGACCAGAACTGTCAGTGGTTGTCGCCGAGCTCCCCTCGTCGACCGCTGCTCACTTGTCAGGTCGACGGACTGCTCCGTCGACCTCCTAGTCGAACTGCAGGTCGACAGACTGCTCCCGATTGAACTGCAGGTCAACGGACTACTCCCGGTCGAGCTGTAGGTCGACAGAGACCCCGTGGTCGAGCTGTAGGTCGACCGAGACCTCCCGGTCGAGCTGCAGGTCGACGGAGGCCTCCCGGTCGAACTGCCCCTCCTGGTCGATGGCCCACCCGTCGCCCAGACCAGTCAGTTGCAGCTGTTGAGCTCCCTCGTCGCCAGCAGCACCACAGCAGTCCCCTGCAGGTCGACGATGCCTTTCGAGCAGCTCTCCCATCGTGAACGGCCGGCTGCTACTCCCGTACATCCGACCAAGTCGTCGGCGTTGCCCAAGCGAGGGCGAGGCCAACAATCCATTCCTGTTAACACTCCCCTGCCGCGCTCACGCTTGGGCCTCCAACCCACACGGCAGTACTCCACGGAGAAAACTCGTCCTCGGCGTGCACCCCACACACAGCACGCCATCGCCGCACCAGCCATGCAGAAGGGCACGACACCTACTACTGGACCTCGTCGTCGCCGTCGCCGACGTCGGCCAGACGAACTTGGCCGATGGCGACAGAGCACTGATTGAAAGCCGGAAAATGCAGCGCCTTTGTCAGGAAGTCTGCCGGCTGCTCGGTGGTCGGGATGTACTTCAGCACAAATTTCTCGCGCCTCACCATGTGCTGCAGCCAGGCGTAGCGTCGCTTCATGTGCTTGAGGTTTCCTGTTAGCCCCAAGCCCTCAGCGACCGTGATTGCCGACTTGTTGTCGACGCGGAGGATGGTCGGCTTCCCAGCGTCGAGCAGCTTGAATTCCGCAAGGAGGAAGTGAAGTCGACGCCCCTCCTTGCCGGCATCCGTGGCCGCCACGTACTCCGACTCGGTCGATGACAATGTTGCGCACTTGATGCGCGAGCTCGACCAGGAGACAGCAGCCCCTCCGTAAACAAACACGTAGCCTCCTGTGCTCGTCCGGTTCTGCTTGTCGCCCGCGTCGTCGGCATCGACTTAGCCGATCAGCTCCAACGACTCTGGTCCACCGCCGAACTCCAAGGCGGTGTCGTGGGTGTCGGCGAGGTAGGCGAGGCAGCGGTCGACCTCGTGCCAATGCTGGTCGCTCCTCACCGTGAGGCCGCTCCCCAGCTTGCTGCGGGCGAGCGCGATGTCCGGCCTCGTCGTCGTCGCCGCAAACTGCAGCGGGCTGACCTTCTGCCGGTACTCCTCCTGTTCGCGCTCCTAAGCCTCCTCGTCGTCGAACGTCAGCTCAGCGTAGGCGTTGACCGAGACCGGCGTCTTCGGGATTCGACCGCCCTGCTCCTCGTCGATGAATTGCCTGCGCAGCTTGTTGGCGTAGCCCTGCTGGTGCAGCCACAGCTTCCTGTGTCAGAACATTATAACTTACTTATTTGTGTAGGCTATAGTGGGGTATCCCATAGGGGGTACAACCCAATTAGGGTTTCATATTTGTACTCACTTCATTCATAGTTCATTCATCCTCGTTCTTTCTTTCACATGGAATCAGAGCAGGTTCCCTCCTAGGGACTGCTTCTAGGGCCCACCGAAGCGCGCCCCGAGGCGCGTTTTCCTTTTTTTTTTCGCGACCCGTTGTGTCGCCCCCAGCGGCCTGTCGCGCCGCCCTTCCCTTAGCGGCCCCGCCGCCCTTCGATCGCGGCTCCGCCGCGCTTCCTTAGCGGCCCCGCCGCCCTTCGATCGCGGCCCCGCCGCCCTTCGATCGCGGCTCCGCCGCCCTTCCTTAGCGGCCAGGCCGCCCTCTGCTAAGCGGCCCCGCCGCCCTTCGATCGCGGCCCCGCCGCCCTCTGCTAAGCGGCCCCGCCGCCCTTCGATCGCGGCCCCGCTGCCCTCTGCTAAGCGGCCCCGCCGCCCTCTGCTAAGCGGCCCCGCCGCCTTGCTCACGCGGCCTCGCCGCCCTCTGCTAAGCGGCCTCGCCGCCGCGTCGCCCGTGCACCTGCCCGTGCACCCGCCCGTGCACCTACCCGTGCGGCCGCCAGTGCAGCCGCCCGTGCGCAGCCTACGAGCCGCCCCAGCCGCCCGTGCAGCCGCCCGTGCATCGCCCGTGAGCCGCCCCAACCGCCCGTGCAGCCGCCCGCGAGCCGTCCCAGCCGCCCGTGCGGCCGCCCGCGAGACGCCCGCGCCGCCCGAGCCGCTCGAGCCGCCCGCGAGACGCCTGCGCCGCCCGAGCCGCCCGCGAGA